GATGTCCATACTGAGCTGCGCAAATTGGGCGAAAATGGGGGCTTGGTGGACCGCCAGCTACAACGAGCGTTGCAGTGTAGAGTTTTACCAAAACTGCCATGGGAAGACCAGCCAAGGAAGCGCATTAAAACCTTGGCCGAAGTGCGAAGCGATAGTGCTTCGCCCATGCTGGGGTACTCCGACTTTCTGAAAGCCACGCTTGTTGTGGAGAGTGTTGGCGAGTCGCAAGTCCAGCCGGGCCTCCCTGTGCAGACGAGAAGGGTTAAGCTAGCGTACGTGCCAGCTGACCCAGACCATCTCAGGGCTCAGTCCATAAATCGCGTTCGACTTATGATCGAAAGCGATTTGTCAGCGACAAAGCTCGGGAAGGTGCTCTACGAGTTAGCGTCCGACCTTGGCAATGAGGGTAAGATCGCGGCAACGCTGACCGACACCTTTGCGAAGAAAGCGCCTGCGACATTGTACAAAAGAACATCCTCGCTGTGGGCTTATTTCAAAAGGAATTCCCGTGGGGATTACAGAGCCACGCTGCACCTGACAGAGGCGCGCGTGTACGAATATGTGTCAGAGCTTCGGGAAGAAGCGGGAGCATCTGCAGCCAAACACTTTACGGAAGCTCTCAACTTCTTCAGCGCGCTGGTCGGATTCCTTAAGTTTGACGTCGTCGAGATCTTAAGTCCCCGAGTCAAAGGTGTCGTCCACTCTGCGCTCGCTGCAAAGCGCCCAAGAAAACAAGCGAGGCCGTTGACAGCTGCTGAAGTCAAGGGTTTGGAAGAGCTGGTTCTGAAGTCACTCGACGAGTTCGTCAAAATGGCTGCAGGATTTTGCTTATTTTGCTTGGCAAACGCGGGCCGCTGGAGTGACGCTCAAGCTGCTGAGGGGTTGAAGCTGGACACTTCTGGCCGTCGACCAGTTATCGAAGCCGGGACTTTCAGGCATAAGACTGCGTCAAGTGCCGAGCGTAAAACAACTCTTCTGCCTTATGTTGGATTTGGCCGTCTGTTGGCGAACAATGCTTGGGCCAAAACCTGGTTGGATGTGGTGCAACAGGTCAAAACCAAGGTCCGCTGTGAAGGGTTTCTGATGCCAGCTTTTTCGGAGAAAACAGGCCGTTGGCTACCCAGGAAGATGTCCTCGGGCGAGGGCACTCTGGTCCTTCGAGACCTGCTAGCAATAACCCAGACGTCAGACGAAGGAGCGCCGTTGCCAACAACGCATTCGTTGAAAGCAACTATCCTGAGTTGGGCGTGCAAGCATGGTACACTATCCCTGCAAGAGCGCATGGTGTTAGGCCATCATTTGGACAAGCCTTCTGTCTCAGCGCTGACCTATGGAAGAGCGAATTTTGTGGAGCCTCTACGCAAGCTTCATCAATTGCTGCTGGAAGTCGAACAAGGCCGCTTCGCTCCCGATGCTAAACCGTCAGCGCTCATCACTGCAGAACTGGAACAATTGGATGAGAAAACTGAAGAGTTCGAGCGGTTGATGGGCGGCGACGCTCCATTGGATGCAGACTCTGCCTCCGAAGTGGATGATGCAGGGGATGCAGAAGAGCAGGCCGAAGAAGTGGTGCCTCGTCATGAAAGGCGTCGTGAAGTCCTGAGGGATCAGGGTAAATTCCTCTGTCATGCAATCTCGGGCTGCTTGCACGTGAAGACAGACCAGCTCAAGTTCCTCTGTGGCAGGCCCATGTCTGCGAACTATGTTGAACCGTCTGCAGAGTCAGTGCATGGGTCACCGGTGTGTGAACAGTGTGCTGCTGCCGAGAGGGCTAGGGCGAATGCCGGAGCATGAAACCTGGCCGGCGAAAAGGTATGTGTGTGAGCGTTTAGGTAGCGTCTTGCAGGTAGCCGTCGTGCTGCCGCGCCCTTGTGCTGCAAGACCAAATCCTAAATGTTCGCGAGCCGTTGTGCATCACAGGCTCGACGTAGGCAAGATCGAGTAAACATGTTGTGTCGCGCAGGTAGTTCACAGTTCACAGACTCTGAGTAGGATCTCTGACAGTTGCGGTTGCTGCATGTGTTTGCAATGTGTACATGCTGTGCTGATTGACGTAGCTTCCTCGAGCCTTAGTTTTGAGCTGCCATGAGT